TGAATGTTATTGCAAATCTCATGTACACGAGATATAAAGAGGGAACTCCAAAAGGCCAAGTCATTTAATGAGAATGTAGACATATATAAACAGGGTATTTGGAAAAATGACTTTTGGGAACGAAGAATAAACAGTTCAACATCACTACCATTATGCTGCCTAGCAGTCAACTGCATGATCCAAAGACAAAATTCCTTTCTCAAGATTGGAACAATAAGTAGATATAACATGTGGTGCAGCTAATTTCCAGTATATGTAAACACCCCCCCCCTCTTTCCAATTAATTTTCCATAACTGCCCAGATGATGCAGAAGTCAGATGCTGATCCTCAGGTCCTGAAGTATGAGAGTTATACCTACATTTCTCAAGAGGAGTAGATATGCAATGTAAGTGACACCAGTATCTCTTTACTCGAAACCCACATAAAAGCACATTTAAAACCTAAAATAAACAAAAACAAAAGGTTGTACCAGAGCACATTCTTTTGATAGACTTAAGAGGGGAAATCATGCTATTGGTCAGTCATTTTGTACTCAATGTCTTGACATGTACCTTAAAAGCTCGTTTCAACAGAGATTGAAGAAATTCATCTAAAACACCTGATGAGAACACAACCAAAACATGTAGCTTGAAGTTAAAATCAACAAAAGAAATGGGAATTGCAGAACCTCATAGGTGATTCCAGTGTCAAACAAGTTCGGTTTCAAGAAATCATGACACAAAATGCAAAATTACTATCATGCAGATCATATGAAAAAAATGTCATGATACCACTACCTTCCAAAGAGAGGGACGTACTCTTTAACATCAGGAGGAGAAATTAATCAAAGCACCACGATGGAGGATGGACTGCAAACAACATAATACGAAGCAGGAATGGTCAATTCCAACCCGTCTTAGAGAACTCTCGAGCATTGTGTTTTTAATTAGCCATATGAGGATCTGCATGCAACATCAGCGATCAGCCGCTACTTTCTGCAAAAAAAGAATCCACATTACAAAACACCACCACGGAGGAAACGGATAGGAAGTCCATCACCGAAAACTGAAAAAATGTGCCTGTGTAAAACACAAACACAATACCATAACTATGGAAATCAGTAACGAAGAAATCCTCACGCTGGAATGTTCTTTATATCATCAATCTTCAACTACAGGACTTGTACTTCTTCAGAATTACAATGAACAAAAACGCCAATAACGAGGCACAGAACAGAGAWAATGTTGATGAACAAAGGTAATTCTTTATCACCGCCAAAGGAGATGAAGAAAACCCAAAAACCCCTAATTTTGGGGGCTTGCATGATCCTCATAGACGTTAGGTATATATACGTTTCAAAGTCGGTATCGGGCAACGGTTATAATTCCTCCGTTTCAATTTCTAACAGAAACATATAAATAAATAAAAAGATACGCATAATTTAATTAAGAGATATGATTATAACGGCCGGTAAATAAATAGGTAGGTTAGATATACGTCAACTTTTGATTTTTAGGTTGTTTGGGATTACTTATAAAAACAACTCAGTAACTTATTTGGATGTGGTATTGATAATAAGCATTTCTTAATGTTTGGATAAACAACTTGTACCAGTAATAAGGAGTTTTTGAAGAAGTTAAACTCTTCTGACTTATAATAAGTTGATAAGTGTTTTTGTAGAAAAGTATAAGTTGTTTCAAATAAACAATCTCAAACACCCCCTTAACTTGATGAATATTGTAGATACAACAACGGAGAAGTCTAAAGATATCTAATAGATTTTGGTGTTATGAATCATTATTTGAACAATTTTTTAGAACAAATAGGTCTTTAGACATTTTAAAACATGTAAAATAGATTTCCTGGACTTTCTAAAATATGTTAGATACATCCTTATAACCTATGAAACTGGTTAATGGGGTAAAATAATGACAAAAGCCTAATTTATCTATTGATTTGTAGTTAATATTGGTTTTCACAGTTACCACAAATTAATTAGTTCTCATTTGTGTATATATATATATATATATATATATATGTGGAGGTTCAAACGAGAACCCCTGTGATTTACGAGAATGCGAGAACAACCCAATTACTTCAAACTTTTTTAATTAATGAACTTATATTAAATATAAATAAATTAATAAGAGCAATAATGTAATTAAGTAATTTTTATAATTTTTAATTTGTTTTAATTAACTATAATTATCCATTTTTTTACTGCACGTTCATTCTCACTCTCTTCTTTTCCCTTATGATAAATGTGTGATTGTGTAACCATAACCTATCGAAACCATGATCAATCGAGTGTAATCATAACCTATCGAAACCTTGAGTAATTCTTGTGATAAATATGTGATTGTCTAACCATAACCGATCGAAACCATGATCAAATTGAGTAGGGGTGAGCATAGGCGGGTACCCGCCCTTTTTGACAGGAACCGGAACCGGAACCGGAACCGGCGGTTCTTGAGATATTGGAACCGGAACCGGAACCGGTTAGAGCGGTTCTTAAATTTTTGGAACCGGAACCGGAACCGCCGGGAACCGGTTCCGGTTCCGGGTACCCGCTTCC